ACCACAAGCTTAATTAAACACACAGCTTCAACTGTAAAATATAACTCTTAATAACTACTAGGGAAGAATTATTGAGACATTAATGGCAATTTCTGACAACATTTAATTATAACTGAGCCAGTCTTACAGTGCGTTTAGGGAACACTAACTTACTTATCTGGATTTCTCACCCTGAAGGTGGCACTGAGAGCTCTCAGCCTGGAATCTGCCTGCAACAGGAGTAACAGGAGGAGGTGAACACCTACAAATCTTCGAATGAATTGCCTGTAAGAATAAATAGATAAACGCTCCATAAATGTCCCATACCTTTGCCTGAAATCCTGTCTCATACACCGCCTCCTTCCAGCCGTGTTCCTGCCACACAGAGCAGTGAAAAGCAAAGTTATTCAACCAATTCAATTTTCAATTCAATTCAATTTTATTTGTATAGCGCCAATTCATAACAGAACCCCGTTTTCTATCTTCTAGGTGGGTGGTCGTCTGCCTCGACCAGTTGGGGTGAGAGAAAGAGAGAGAGAGAGAGAGAGAGAGAGAGAGAGAGCCACTGATGTATAAGTGATCGGCTGAACTGCCGGGCTGAGAGCTGCAGCGTGTACCTCGGTGAGGAAGTGGTAGAGGAGCTTGTTGTTGGAGAGGACTGGATGTGATGCCACGCGAAGCAGAAAGTTCTCCAGCCCGACCCGGCGGCGCTCCACAAAGTCTGGGTCCATGTTGTCTGCCGACAGCTTGTGCCACACGAACTCTGCCTGCATGCAAGAGAACAAACAGCTTTAATACAATCAACCTTTTCTGCACTATATGCTATTGAGATTTAAAAAAGCATATGTAAATCTTCTGTAAAAACTGGACAGCCTTTGGAGTAAGTCTGGTCTGATTCCAGCTTTACTTATTTGTAGGTACAATGATGATGATCCCTCATCATCTTTTATACACAATATATACCACAATGTATCTTACTGTGAAATAACTTTATAGGTTCCTGTAGCCCCTCTCATTCTATTATTTGGATATTGCTCCACACTAAAAACAATTGCACCAGAGAGGGGTAATTCCCTGCAACAATGCTACCATACAAATTATATGAATCTCCATTTCACTGTCAAATATCAGCAGGCTGTTGCAGTGGCTATGTGTAAGTTTAAGTGTAAAAGATGTGAGAAAAATCATAACAATTACCAGTGGTGTTTCATTGTTCTTTCATGTTTTCTGTAACTAAGTAACTGTGCATCTAAGTGCATCAGACAGTCCAACATATGTGTTCCTACATATAGATGTGGAAGAAACGCAACTCTACATCAACTTCCCTTTAACTTAACTAAATCTAAATGTAACTAATTCAGCAGCAGTGTTTTTATCAAGGTGAAATTGTCGTAGAAAGCAAAAACATTTGGACACTAACCTCTCTGTGAGGACGCTGTGAGGCTGCCTGTTTGCAATCCACTATGATGCACTACACAGGGTAAAACCATCAGTTGCTGCAGCCAACGGCGACTTTCATTCCAAATGCCCTATGTCTGTCAGGTCGGGCTATCATCAGGCTGATACTGTTTAGTCTGAACCTGGCATTAGTTACGTTTTTGCAGAAGTAGAGATGGTGCAATTGAACAACGCAGTGAGTGAAACTGTTACATGGTAGCACTCAAACTTTTATAGTTCAGAGCAACAGTGTTTGTTTTGATTCAGAGACGAGGATATATATTCTCATTTTTTATTAATATGGGAGCTCTTTCTGAAGACCAGGAGGAAATGAGCAAGACTTCCAGCTCCATGACGACTGATTTGGGGCCTTCATTTACCAGATGATAGCTGGAAGACAGTCCTGTACTATATTGGACAATTCTTTAGGGATCTAAAGCAAGGCTGCACCCTGGGAGTATCACTGAACAGAGTTTGGAAAGCAGAGGCACTCACCCTCTTCTCAGGCAGAGGGGGGACCACGATGTATGGATAGGTAACTATCAGGTAGTTCCGCAGCAGCTCAAATTCACTGTATCTCCTCCACAGTGAGTCGGGGGCTGGGTTACGACCTTCAGTGACGGCATCCATCGGCCTTTAAAGATAAAGCCACAGGACATTGTTGTTGTTTTTGCAGAGTGACAGAAGACAGAAGTAAATGCAAGCAACACAGAGCTAAAACAAGGAAGTGGCGATATCAGAACATCTCAGCTCAACAACCCGCAGCACTTCCTTTCACAGGGCTGACCAGGGGAGTGCTCACCGCGTTTCCAGGAGGTACACAGTGAACGTCTCCTGCATGTTCACTGCATTCTTGCCACTCCTCTTCTCAGCCTCAGCGACACAGATCTCCATCCTGCGAAGGAGCGTGGAGCCCTCCTCCACCATCTGAACCACACATCACACAGCATCACTAACAACCTCTGGAAACAGCTGTTGGTTGAGTCACAGCTCCCACCCGGCTGCCCATTCCTGGCCCCACTTTTAGGCTATAAGCTAACAGCTGTCGAGGTCAACCATGAACCTTATTTATTAAGCAAACCAATGTTAGCATGGGTGTCACAGCAGACTGTGTGAGCCATACATGACCCCACTCTCCGTTATGAGGAAAACAATTTAAATGGCGGTTTAAATATGAACTTATATTTAGCTACCTAGCTTGTCTTACAACAATGTAAGCTAGCTGTGCCCTGAGCTTTGAACTGTAACGAATACCCGGTACCGTTAACACAGCCTTTACCCGCCGCTATGCCTGTCTTTAGAGTAATTCCACAAGTAAAACGGGGGGGGGGCTACTGTTTTACCGTGTTGTTTAAGCTGTTGCTCCGGTCCGCCGCTGTGTGCTCTGAATCGACGTCAGCAGCCACCGACTCTTCCTTACCATCCTCCGCCATCCTCCTCTTCCCTGATGTTGTTGGTGAGCCAGGACGCATGCGCAGAGCATGCACATCATCCCACAGATGTTAAGGATGAAATGTTTGCAGAAAAGATCAGAGGGGCTGACAGTGGAGAAAAAGCGATCGTTTTGATGTTGATGTGTTGACATTATGGAAGCCCATTTCTGCCTATGTCACTGAAAAGAAAACGATTCAGAATATTATGACTTAGCATCTCAAACTTAAAGTCATTATTTTGAGAAAGTTTCTAATCATTTTGACATATTAAGTGAAAATATTGAGAAGGTTTTTCATTATGATTTACATAATGCATTTTATTCATCACATTGGCAGAAATGGGCTTTCATATCACTGTTTTCATCACAATAGGACATTTGTATCATGTAAATTAAATTTTTTTAAATGCTCTTTCCAACTGGGATTGGGTCTTTTTTAGTATGTGAAGGCACACTCCATTGACTTTTCTAGGGCATTTTCAACAAGCAATTTGTTATGCAGTGGTGGAAAACATGATTTTCTAAGAATCCATAGCCAAGTTAGATTTTGAATAAGGAATAAAAGTCATATTGGTTATTCTTGTAAAATCCATATAAGTCTTCTAAGATGTTTAAGATCCAATAGAAAAAAATGATTTCACAGAAGACTGTGAAAATGCGACTAGAACCAAACATATTTTCTTATAAAGGTGGAAGAGTCTTATAGGCTTATAGCACCAATAAAAAAAAACCCACTTATTTCCAAAAGGATGGCGAGACCCTAAACTTTTTCCTATAGAAAAAGGAATTGGAAAAGATGAATATTCCTATAGAACTTTTTGACTAGGGAGGGGTCCTTCAGTGGATTGTAGGAAGTCCTCAAGAAAAGGAGGAATAGAATATAAAAATTTTTGGAAGTTTATTGTTGGCTTTATTATCTTCAAACCTAAAAATGGGATTCCTTAACGGTCCAGTGTGTAACATTTAAGAGGATTTATTGTCAGAAATGGAATATAATATTCATGTATGTATGTGTTCATTAGTGTACAACCATCTGAATGTTTCTATAGTAGCCCAGAAGGGACAAACCAAACACTGGCTCTAGATAGGGTCATTCACCTTTTTCAGGTATTTCGCAGCCACTGTAATTTCTCCTTTGCATTTGGAAGGGAGGGTGAAGAAAGAGAGATGTGAGAGATGCCACTATATCCTACACACTGCACCTTTAAATCCTCTCAACTTAGGGGTCTGTGGTCTTATGTGCTTCTATTGTGGGGGTCCTTGACATGAAGAAGTTTGGGAACCTCTGGCCTAGTGTTACCAGTTGTTGCAGGATAGTCAAATAAACAAAACCAATTTAAAAACATTTAATCTTAAGAGAGTATCACAGTTGCATTAACATAACTTTACATTCAAGTGATAGGAGACATAAAACAGATTTATAAGTTGAAGGTCAGACCATTAACTCAGGTGACACTGATATTACAGTATCACTGGTTGTACTCTTTTCATCAGCACAGTCATCAACAGTGTTTCATTTTGGCAAACTGAGTCACAAAAATGACCTCTACAGCCTTGCAGTTGTTTCAGAGAATCTCCCAGCAGCTGCCTCACATCATCACAGAGGTTGGTCGCTGGCTTTACACATACAAGCAAGGCTTCATTTACTTGCAAGTACACTGCAACTAGTTAGTCATGTGAGTGATCAGTGGGTAAAGTCTTTTTGGGTAGATTTCTTCTAATATATAGAGTTCTACTATCTAGACATAATTTCAGTTAAAGGACACTTTAGTTTATAGCTATTTTGGGGTTTTTTGTCATTTCCATTAGCTACAACAATCTTCTCACGAAAGTAATTAGCAGGGCAGAGGGCAGAGCTCCAGCTTGTAGCAATACTCAAAACAAAAACAAAACTGGTCAGATTAATGGAGAAATATTACTTCCCTTTCTGGCGAGAATAAAGCTACTGGACGTAACTTTTATAGAGAGATTTTTTGTAATATTCTCTTTCACTATATCCTGACAGTAAGCGTGTGTAGATTTAGCATTTTATTTTCGTGATGATAACTGTCACAGTCGAATCGGATGAATAGTTTTAATGCAAGACATTTGCAGTATTTTGCATTTTCCCACTTTTTATTCATCATGTCCCCGTTGTGCAAAAGGCCTTAAGTATGTGAAAAAATTTGGCTGGCAGACCTCCAATATGGCTGCCAGAAGTTGCAACATGAGTAAGAGTAAAAATCAACAGACATGATTAAAAGGACAAAAAGACAGATAGAGAGCCACTTGTGGAGAGACAAAGGACTCTTGATTCAACTAACTGTATTGGAATAAGGAATAAATGCTACTTTTAAGTATATTTATAATTAACAGGTAGGTAGAGTTGTAGTTAGTTAGTAAAATTAGACACATTTCTGTGCTGTACATTAAAACAGGTCATAAAACACATCCATGATCCTGAGTTAGTTGTGACGCTGTCCTCCAGAGCCCTTGTTAAAATATCATACACTCGGTGCTGTATGGAGTGTTCAGAGTCAAATGTCTATTTCCTAAAAACATTTATGCACCATTGCTCGTTGTTCCCATTATTAACCACCCACTGATCCATCAGCCTCAAACACAGAGTGGAAATTTGACCCCATCATTGTTACAGTGCATCATTCTACTGCTGTGTGCCGCTGTGAGGTTCCTCCTGCAAGCCAACGAAGAAGCAGACTTGTTGCGGGGAAGACGGGGCTATGTGAGAATGCTGGTGGGAGGATGAGGAGGATGAGGAAGAGGAGGTAGATTTGGGGATCTCCCAGTGGCTGCCGTGGAGGTCCAGGGAGGAAAGAGCGGGCAGGTGGTCTCTCTGCACGGGTCTGTCACACTCCGTAGGTAGAGGTGGCGCGGTCAAGCATTTCCTCAGGCATGGCTCACTGTGAAGTCAATTACACAGACGTTTAAGAGCGCGTTTCACTTATTTAAAACAGGATGCATGCATAGGAGCACTGAGCAACAAAGTTCAAGACAGCAACTGTATCCCTTCAATACTTATTGGCCTTAAAAGGTCCTACCACAGAGGACTGCCACCAGGTTTAAGGACTCAACCTTTTTAAGGACAACGTTTGACTTCGGTCTTTCTCTAACATTAATTTGGCCACAGTTCAAGCTAACATTTTCAGGACAACATAGATTATTTAATTTGAATCAATTTCCAGGTGTTTAGATGACTGGAAAACTCCTCCTCCTCTTTAAATTTACAGTTTTACAGGAGGCATGGGAACTCCTCCTGTCTATGTACTGTAATGGAAATCATTGGTCACCTCATGGAGTTGGGTGGTGCTCCTTTCCAGGCCTGTCGGTACACGTCACCTGCCACCCCAAACAGCCAGCTCACATCAGCTGGCACCTCTGGGATCCACTCTACAAGCCTGGGAGCAGAGCAGTAATGATTTTATATGAACAGGCACTAAAATGATTTTTAACACTGGAACAGGAAACTTGGTGATGGACCTGATCTGAGAGGAGATGGGTTTTAGGTGCAGAACTCTTTTGCTTAAAGGGGTTGTTCGTACAGTGGACAGCAGTTGGCAAATCCCCAGTTTGAAGAAGCAATAGTTCCAGCCCTGGCACGGAAGTTAAGCAATGCACTGCTGAGGACGATCAATATCAGTTTATGTGTACACTATATTAAGCTTCATCTTGCTGTCAGACAGCCCTTTCCAACATAGAGTCAAAGCAGTTATCGCTCTCTCCAAAGTCACCAGACTCCTTTGACAAAAACAGTGATTTTTTACCTCTTAGAACACAGCAGTTGCTGGTCTACCACTGCCTTGATCTGCAGCAACTAATGTTGGTTTGGATTCAGACTAATGTGTTAAAACACCAGTCACACAAAAGTAAAAAACCCTAAAACAAACTGATCAAGGCAGCAGTGGACCAGCAACTCGTGTTCTGTTCTTGTCAAAGAAGTCTGAAGAAAGCATAGATCAACAGAAACACACAGTAGCTGGGCCTTTTTTTGGGTGTCTAACATGTGTTTTTCTGCTGCTAGCTTCCGTGTCTACTTCTCCAAACTGGGGGAATACAGACCAGCATCTACTGTACCTCATACAACCTGACTTCAAAAAACCCAAATCATGCCTTTAAAGGTGATATATTGTCATTGTTTAGACCTATACTGACCTTTGGGCCACTGAGTAGGCGGATTGCACAGGAAGTGTGTATGGCATGAGCATGTAGGAGGCCACTCTCATTGGCAACATCTCGGACACCTTGGCATACAGGCCAGGTTTGTCTTGGCAGGCCTCGCAGAACACTGACAGACACACAGGGAACAGGACCATCAACTGTGCAAAATGATTACACCATTATTTACACACCAGTTTAAAGAGACATTCCAAAATCTGTAGCCATACACTCGGCTCAAACATATCTTCATTAGTCTGGGATGACACCACACCTTTCTTGATGGGCGTAGGCAGAGCGATCTGCTCGTCCAGCCACCAGTGCTGTTTACGCAGCAGGCGGAGCCTGCGGAGCACCCACTCTCTGGTGGTTTCCGTGTGATTGCAGCAGCAGTTGGGCTGGCTCTCCGGCAGGGTGAGGCCAGCAGTTGGACGCTCCAGCATCAGCAGGTCTGGCACCACAAAAACATGATGTCAGTGAAACGGTCCAAAGGTTAAGCTAGAGGATGATAGCTTCATGACTAGGTAAGCTTATCTGAGAGTTACCCCGGTAGCACAATAGTAGAATACTCACTGTTCTCTTCAAGGAAGCGTAGAGCATCCTTATAACCGCTCTGACACATCTCAGCCAGCACCTGTGGAGACGAAGATAGTACATCTTATATACAGGGTCCTGTCTACGCATGCATTTACTGTCACATAATCAAATGTAGAACTATGAAAAAGTGTAGAAATGTATTGCATTTCAGTGTTGTCCAACACAGCTTTATGTAAAATCTATTATGCCTAAAAATTCTTGTGCCGAACACTAAAAACACACCTCTTCAATTTATTTCCAGTGTTGTGCTTTGAGACATCCTAGAGCTGAACAGACTCATAACAGTTTCGATAAATTATAGTCTCTTAAATTATTTTTCCTGTGGAATTATATTTATATATTTATATTTTTTCAGTCAAGTTATATTAAGTTATTAATTAACAGATTGGACCTCTTGTCTATCATGTAGCAACACTGCCATCTAGTGACAACAAACAGATGTAGATTATTAATCTGTATGACTGAAACTTGTATCCTGTATTATGTAAACAGATTAAGTCTTTAAGATTCTACCATTTATTAAATGTACTACAAGGAGTTTAAGAACTTGTTATAAAACATTCTCAATTTAATACTGATGCCTCTGTATGACCTACATAAAGTAGAAAGTAGAGAAGATTGGCTATTTCTTTATAGTTATTCTCAATACCGTTGAGATTCGTTCGGATTCCCCTTAAAAATCAATGAAACGAGGTGGAAACACTACTGCTTTTGTCCACAGGGGTCTCCAGAATCGACAAAAATGAAAGCTCCTTGCAGGGGCTTTAAATAGTACTGAATTGTGCTTTGATAGTTTAGTAGTTAAGAATGTCATGTGACTGATAATTTGCAGAAATAGACCAGGCCAAAGGTGATGCAAAGAGAGTCACCTGCCATCCGTTGTGCAGATATCCCTATCCTAACATTATTAGTCATTATGATACAGCCATATCACTATGGTCAGTTTGATTGTTTGTTTTGTCAAAGAAAGAGAGCTTGGACATCAGCAGAGGTGCTAACAGCCAATCCACTGGCTGGAATGGTCAGACCAGAGTTACGGCATCAGGCATGTATGGGCAGACTTGCTTTTCAGGTGGCGCGATACAGTGAGGTAATTCCTCCCTCTAGGAATGTGGTTAGAACACAGACACCCCCGCCACACAGATTTGTGAGCCAAATTACATAATCGAAGGATAACGCACACGTGTGGGGAGCGGTGAGGAGCCGGGCTGCATAACAACAACAACAGAGCAAACAGTTCAATGCCCCAGCAAGGTTAAAGCTCACCTCATCTTAAAAGTTACCTAACAGTCATCACAGCGACAGGGAATAAAGAGGAAACATGGGATAAAGGAGAGGGGCAGCAAGTGAAAACAGAGGCAGAAGGTACAAGACACTACTTCCTGTCAGCGATGGGTAAAGGAAAAGGAGGAAGATTAAGGATGGAGAGGGGAAAGCAAAAAGGGTTTTGATATTCCAGGCAGAAGAGATCTGATTGTGACTCATAACAATGATACTGCAGTGTACTCTTTCCAATTCTCATGTGTGTCTTAATGGGACTTTAGCCACTTGTGACATAAAGGCATACGTCTTTAAAAAAGTCAACAAGCCACAACAATGTCGCAGTTTAATTAATCCCAGCATGCTGGGGCAGGGGGGGGTCTGTTTCCTATCCTAAAACCATATCTGCTGGCCTCTGAGGATTTGTGTCCTTGCTTAGGATGATGTTAGTCTAGCAGATGTTTGTAGATTAAAGTTAATGGGATTGGAAGACCACGTGGTTCTGGAGCTGCTGTGAAGTGTAGTGTATCTCTAAATTGGAAACTGCAACTGAAAAGTTGTTGGAACAATTTATTTATATATATATTTAATTTGGTTATGTTATCCATAAAATCCAGTAATAAAGGCTATTGGAAGATTTATAACTCGAGTCTCTTTCGAGTTTCGCATCCACTGTAGTTTCTCGTACACGCTTGTATGGCTGAGCTGTATTGAAATGGTTGCAATCTGCACCGCTAGATGCCACTAAATCCTAGTCCTTTTAGTGTCACATCGTCTAACTTTAAAGCTGCATCATTAGACTTTTTTGGCCACTTGGAGGGCAGCAACACAAACTAAAAACACTGACATATTGTCAGTTTATCTAGTGTATTTCAACCTCAAAGTTAAATGGTAAATGGACCTGTACTTGTATAACGCCTTTCTAGTCTTCCCACCAATTTACACTATATTACACATTCACAAAGCCCATTGAATAGAAACTAATGCATTCATACACATTCACACACCGATGCACAGCATTGGGAGCAATTTGGGGTTCAGTATCTTGCTCAAGGGATTGGGGTTCAGTATCTTGCTCAAGGATACTTCGACATGTGGCACCAGGAGCCGGGGATCGAACCAACAACCTTCCGATTAGGGGACGACCCGCTCTGCCTCTGCGCCACAGCCGCCCCTAAGAACAAATTTGATCTATTGTTGATAGAAAAAATATTGACTGGGGCACCTTTATGTACTGTGTTGCTATGATATGTAGGAAAATATTAACATTAGATGAGGATTTCTCATTATTAATTTTGATTTTACCTAAATTAGATTTACTTATAGATAATCTTCAAGTGATCAAATGCAACTTCTATGCTCGATCTAAATAAACAGAATGTCCCTGTGAAGCAGCACCTACCTTAGGTTCTGGCGGAAACAGGGCCCTGCTGAGGCGGTACATGTTTCCCAGGTTCATCTGGATGCTGGTGTTGGTAAAGCGCAGCTCATGGAAGCTGGTGGAGTTGTCGCGGGGACAGATGTCGCTCTCGCCAGAGAAGGGCGAGATGGTGATGGTGTTCTTTAGCTCGGACTGCGGTAGGTTGTCACTGATCCCGCCATCCACGTAACGCTAGATACACAGAAACAGGCACAGAGACATATAATGTATGTATGTACCACTGTCACTGTCGACTAAGTAGAGTGTCATCCATTACAGGACAAATCTTATTGAAAGATAGGGATATTGTTCTTGGCTGTTGTACCATGATAACGGGGCCAGACTCTAGACAAAGCCTTATTTATACCCAGTAATTTTGGTTACATACTTTGAACCATTCTCTTGTGCCCTGCAACATCATCAGAAGACACTTCAGCCTTTCAAAAAATCAAAAACTCTCTGTACCAAAACAGGAACCCAATTTGACAGTTACGTCTCTCTAACATCTTTGTATTTGTGAGTGACACAATTTTGGACTTTATTAATTTATTCATGCAATGACATGCTCCACTTCCACTTCAGATTCAACCTCTGGATCACTGGAAAATGAAAGGAGGACTCGCTCATTTAAAGGGCTTAAAATGTCATGGAGAAGGATTTAACCTTATTCTAAGTGCCAGATGTAAAATCCCATTCAGCTTGGCAGAGAGGCTGCCAGCAGACTGATCGGCTGAAAATGTAACCTCTGTGTTAGCAAATGCCAGCCTGACAGGATGTAGGTCAGTGAGGAAATGGAGGTCAGGATCATTCAATGTGCATACAGAGTATATAAATGTGTGTTTGACACTTTTAACTAAATAAGTGAACTCTAATATTGGATTACTACATTAGCCTTGGATCATTAACATTTTGTAGATTTTTTCCTTGTTGTTGCAGGCCTGTAAAGCCTTTTGAGACACTGTATATTATGTTTGGGTGTTGGGTGTGTGACATGGGCTGATATGAAAATTTCACTTTGTGATTATCATGGCCAAAATAAATTTATAATATTATCTTGATAATCTTCTAAGCATGCTTAAAATTCACTTCTAACGACAATGGATACTGCCATTTCGATTTGGTAATTCAAAATAAACCAGGAAATCAATATATGACTGTACATTAGGGAGCTAGACAGCTTTCACTAATATACTGACAATTCCCTTCCTATATACTGGTATATAGTATTTTTTATCATGATAATATCGTCAGTCGTCCCTTCCCTATTGGCTGTAAAAAAAATAGAGCCCGAATGATGACTTGGCTTACCGATATTAGCTTATTGTGGATTTATCCTATCAGCACATATCTAACATTCAGTAACAGGAAACTGCAGTAAACAAATGAAAAACAAGTTTATTTGTGGTGCCACGGTTCTAAGGATGAAAATATCCGTTGGTCCGCCCACCAACTTGTGCTCTGGTGTTCCCTAAGCTTTTCATCTAGAAAACCCACCCAGGGTCTGCATCCCTGTTATACAGCATACTAAGAATTTATAGTAGTGTGAATTCATTAATTAAAAGCATACAAATTGAACACTGTCTCCATTTTCCTTTTACTGACACAAAATTACACAGTCCTTTCAAGGAAAGGAAAGAAACTAAGAATTTATAGTTACATGTTGATTACCTTCTTGGAAATGGTTAGAAAACTATGGGAACCTGCAAATTGAAGAGTTATTCAGAAAGTGTCGCCTCAAGTTTATGCACACTCAGGCACAGAGCTGATGAGTCACACTAAACTGGGCTCTGTGCCAGCAGGCGATCTGGGCAGCAGAAAGTACACAATGTACAGAATCCACAGATAACACTTACAGACAGAATATGTACTCACAGACATGTGCATGCATATTCTATGTACATGACATGTAAACAGCTCAACTGAATCCAGCAGCAGTTTATTGGACTCACTGTGTTCTTTGAGGTGTTTTGACACTGAACTTTGGCACCAAGACAGAGACAACAGGCTCAATTCAAGATTAAATGCACAAAGATGTTCACAAAGAGGGTGTTTGTCAGCCCTCTGTGCCATGGTGATTTACTGTGTGACTGAGGTATCACTGCCCAAGTGTAGCTCCAGACTAAAATCCTTTTTAATTTACTTACATATACTATAAATTGCTAGATTGTATTACTACATCCATTTAATGGTTGCATTTTGGAGCAGAAACTGCATGTTCATCATCTGCATTTCTATTACATGTCATTACTTCAATCTATATTGATTGTGCAGTACTTGACCTTTGTATTTTGTTACTACTTTGACAATTTTACAACTTCCAACTCTTTCGCTTTCAGCTGACATTACAACATCTGCCAACATGTACTCTATAAATGTAGCTGCTTTAACGGTCAGCTTTGACTACTTCAACTGAATTATCTGGCATTGTCAGTGTGGCAGCTGTGGAACAATGTCAGCACTCTCCCTGTGAGTTTTGGGAAGGTGGTGAAAAAGTTAGTTTGGAGCCCTGGACTGAGTTGCAACAGGTAAGCTAGGGTGTAAAGTCGACACTAGAGAGTCATAACTAAGGCAAAGCTCGAATTTTATGATTATTCTTCTGCATTTTTGTTATATGTAAAGTCATCTGATAATCTAACCTATTTCCTATCAGAGGATAGGAAATAGGTTAGATTAGTGCTGCCTGTTCACACACATATACCAAAACGCTCTGTCAGTCTGAATTAGATAACTGACAAAGTCCAATAGCAGCTGATAAGTCAAAGTGAAGGCAACACTGCTATCAGAAAGACTCACAGGTAAAATGATTACCACAAGCAGATGACTAATCGTGAATATTTCTAACAGAAAAATCAAATGATCTCATAGCACTCTTGCACCTTGACCTGCCTTTTCCCTGATGCATTATTTTACTACAGTACTTTCCCAGTCCTATTTTCAGGTGTTACTGGAATACTGGTATATAATAAATATGTTTTTGGATCACAGCTGCACCCAAAGCAAATCCAAATGAGGAACGAGGATTTCCTGTTCAACTGAAACCTCATTCTTCTTTTTACACTTGTTTTTCAGCCAAATGCTTCCCACTGAATGCTTTTGATCACATGTAACGAAGCAAACACTGTGACCGCTCCAGGACAAGACGTCATAATTAGTATGATTTTCTACAAATAATTGTACAAACCAAAGCTAAACTTTGATGAGTAGCAAACACGTACCACTCCTCTGAAGGATGGAGGAATCAGCCCGCAGTAGATGGGAATGAAACAGCTACAGATCAGCGCCTGTGGGCAGAGAGCATGGTTAAACCAGAGAGGAAATTCATTTCCTGTGTCTTCTGGAGGCTTCTCCAGGTTTAAAAGATATCCCCGCACCTGAATGAGTTCCTCTTTGGTGCCAAACTCTGACACCAGCACATTCTCCCCATCGGACACTCTGGTCAGCGAAACGCACAGCCGGCCCGAGGCCAGGACGTGTGCGTCAGAGGGCAGGTCCCGATTCAGGCCAGATTTGATCACCTTGACCAGGTTGAAGGAGGGGTGAAGGGGGCCCAGGTTCCTCTTCCTGGCCTCTTTCGCCACCTCGATCACATCTTCGCAGCATTTTGCTAAAAGTGATAAAGCACAAGGATCAGGTGATGGGACTTAATCAACTGCAAACAAAAAACGGACTACCTGAGACTGGATCAATATTCACTAAAGCTACCAGCGGTCATTGATCGGCAGTGACCTATGCAAGACCTCTTCTGAGTATTGGGCCCATGCTGACTTCACAGAGACACACATAGAACAATATGTACCCTATGTGTTTACTGATGGCAGCCATTATGATAGCTGTCCACAGGAAGATAAAGGCATGTTATTGCAAGAAGTACATATATATGTTTAGGGCACTGGGAACTGAGTCTCCCTATGTTTCATATATGAAAAATATTTTAAAGTACATTAATGATATATCTTGGTGTTTCTACTGTCAAATAATACACTTTTGGGTTAGTTTTGTCAAGAACAATCAATTAATATCTACTTCAAATATTTCACATTTAAATCAGTAAAGTTCAACATTTAAAATATTATTTTAATTTCTGCAGCAGTTATTATAACTATAATAATAATAATAATAATAATAATAATAATATTAATAATAAGAATACAGGACTTCCGGTGTCCTGCCTCAAGTACGGAGCTCCAGGCTGTGTGGCCCATAGCGGTGTGTCTTACTTATGGATGCCTGGCTGGCGAGCACCGAGGCGGTCAGAGCGCCGGCGGAGGCCCCGTACAGCTTGGTGGCCCCCTTGATGAGGTAGGGCGCTTTTTCCAGCAGGCAGCTGGCAACTCCAATGTGGTAAATCCCCAAGAACCCGCACCCGGCAAACGACAGGTTCCAGCCTCCGTTTAGGTCGAACATGGCGGGGCATGCCCCGGCTGGGGAGCCCTGAGACCGCACAGTGCACGGTATGCGCAGCGGCAGCGGCTGATAGAGGCGGCCCGTTGACGAACCGCTCAGCTGGAAGTAGCAGACTGAAACCTGCGCTCAACAACTGGCTCTATAGAGGGAAGTATGATGCCTTCAGGTGCTGTCGGAATTGTCGTAACGCCCACATGAGCGCTCCAATAGTGCGTGTACTGGTACATTTACACTTATTTATACGAAAGAATGTATTCATTAATGTAAACCTATTGTATAAGAAACTAAATGAAAAGGTTTCACTGCTGTTTGCTCTTATATTACACGCATGCACTGGTGTGTGGCTGAGGAAATGGTATTGTAAAAATAGGCTATTTTTTTTATTGTCCAGTGTTGAGACTATTAGGTGACATTGGTGTGGTTTAACAAAGTTTCATGGGCGTTTTCACTGTATTCGGAGACTATATAACATTAATCTGCACTTTTTTCCACGTGAATCAGGATATGAAGTTGCCGTTGCTGTGTGCCGGTAGTGTCGCAGCTTGTTTACAAACCATGAGATTTACCAGGAACAGTGAATGCAAAGCATGTTACTGAAAGTATGATTGGATTAATGCACGTCTGTCAATTCGCCTTTCTACACAAGAGCCAATCAACAGCAAGCGGGAGAGACAACAAGCAGTGACGTCAAAACCCCCTTAAAAAAAGAAAAGAAAGATAAAAACACACAAGCCCCTCCCATTCCTACTTTACTTCTGTTTTCTTTGCCCATCCCCACACACTTTTATATATTATTGGTGACCATAGACCGGGGGGGTTCTCAACACGGTAAAGTTATTTAACTAGCTACTCGTTAATGATTTAGAGGACTTTACTTTTATCTGGAAGTCAGAACCAGCTAAGCCAAAACAGTAGCCTTTATGAAAAGGATTGCTGTACACTGCAACATATTGTATAAGATATATAATATAATATCACAACTAACAACCACTTCCATTATATAGACTACTGTATGTGATGCTGCTGAGATGCTGAAAACTTAAACCAGGGGTCTCCAACTCATATTGGCTTGGGGCCACTGCTGGCAATTTAATATTCAAGTTACATTTTTATACCCCTTTATAGCCAAACAACAAATGAAGACCTGAAACCTTCTATTTTGCAATGCAACTAAATTTTTAAAAATATAATGTTTTTTTAATTGAATAGTATATAAAGGGGCAGTTTAAACTCATATGAAACAACTAGACATATTAATTTAAAAAGAATAATCTTGTAGGCCGCTGGGCCAGCAGTTAAGTCAGGTCCCTGACTTCAAGAATATACACAAACCTCCTGCAGTTATAGTATTAGTATTATATGTATGTATTATTCATTTTAGATTTATACAAATGCACACAATTTATACAATATATCAGTCAAACTTAAAAGCACTCACAAACACTATAAAAGCCTATAAGACTACACAATAAAATATTAACCCTAGCCACGTTTACAGACTCATATGATATGAGTCATGTCATACTAATATCAGATTTACTACCCAATAATAAATTCTATATGATAGGCCTGTGGTTTATGTAGGAACACGGTGATTGAGTAGGTTTATGATAAGAGCTGAGGATTATGGGATTATTCCAGCAGCCTACTGGAGCGTGTGTGTCTGTATAATGTGCTGGGAAGGATCCTTCCTCTGCAGGCGCGCGCATCCTCGGCCCGCCGAGAGTGGTCCTGATGCTGGGCCTCGTGCGCGCGCATTACATCACTTCTTTCCTGCGTGATTGGCTGCGGGTCAACTCTGCCGTGCAGCATCCACCGCGCCAGCTCCAGCATCCCGACGCGAGCGGCAGCCGCGTTTGAAGCCAGCCTCATCAACCATCATCCTCATCTCTGACTCCATCACAAAAATTAAAGAAACTGTTCGCGTGGGTGTGCGCGTTTTCCTTCTCTTGCACTGGCGGCTCGTTTCGAGGATGGCCGAGAGCGAGGCAGACACGCCGAGCACGCCGATTGAGTTTGAGAGCAAATACTTCGAGTTTGATGGAGTGCGGCTGCCGCCCTTCTGCAGAGGGAAGATGGAGGAGATCGCCAACTTCTCCCTCAGAAGTAGCGACATATGGATTGTCACCTACCCGAAGTCAGGTAAACAAGCCTCTGCGTCACCTCTGTGCATTGCTCGCCGTGTCTCCAGATTTCTTGGCTGTGAGCTGCTCTGTGCTGCAGCGGTGACTGCAGGCTTCCCTTGTGATTATTAAAGTTTGATCAGATAAATAATGCACGGGGCGAGCGAGTGTACATCCTCTATCGGTCATAGGGTTTATTTTGCATGACACTTGGTCACAGTCACCATTAAAGTTGCATATCAGGCCGGGTTTCACATGCAACAGCGCTGGGTGGGTGACATATCTCTGTTTATATTGCGATTGTGCAGCAGAACTAAATTTTATAGGCCTCTATCAAGCTTTTACAATCAGTATCCAGCATATTTCATAATCAGATGAGTCAGAGTAAATCGATCATGCCTGGCTGCAAAGTGCATCAGCTGGCCTGTACATCAGCTGGCCTTCATCATCCAACGTAATCACACGCGTTATCACGCACGTATGGAAGTTGGTGTTTACATCCAGCAGAGTCGTTGCGCAGCGGTGCTGCAGGCCGATGGCCGCCGTGCACGGTGCCCTGCTGTGCGCTGGGTGGGTCCGGTCATGTGACGGCTACTGGGCAGCTGGAGCTCGCTGTCACTGCACGCAGAAGGGCAGAGAGAGTTCGATTATTGTCGTGGGAATTATTGTTCTGGTTCAGCGTCTCAGCAGCATCACATACAGTAGCCTATATAATGGAAGAAAGTGAGCTGCACGCATTTAGTGGTCATCTGCAGGGAATTCCCATCATTGCACTTAATAATCAATTAAATCATTTTGAATCATCTAAATATATGATAATATACAATGCCAAAACACACAGCTGTCCATGTTTCCCTGTAGTCTTACATCTGTGGAACACTAAAGTGCATTAACATTAACAATAACTATACTGTAAATTCATTAAGACAGTAAATGCATAATTTTGGTACTCATGGGAATTGCTGCTGCTATACCAGCAGTACATAGAGGTCATAACTGTTGTGTTGGAGTTCACATTCCACTGTAACAGAATTACACACAAGGATGAATCTTATAGTTTTCAGATTGTTTTTAGATCGTTTTCAAGCAATAATAAATAATTGATATATAGCAATAAATAATTGCATTTTATAATATAGAAATATTTTATATTACATGATAATATCATAAAGGTGTTTAGTATTGACACATGATTAAAGTAATAAATATTTAGGAAATAAAATATTTATTAGTATTATTTTTTGTAGCCAGTAGAAGCCTTCTGCGGGAGGTGGTGGTGTCTGGCACTTCTGTTCATTCATGGAATGTCACACACTGATGACATTTCTGAGTAACTCATCTGTCATTAAAAGAAAAAAACAGTAACCTATGAAGGCCTGATCACGCTCGAGGTGGTACAACAATATTCATCTGGGCACCTTTGCAAAATATTAGAAGCTTAGTGTTGTAAGGACGATACTGGCAGGGCTGGTTGGTGCACTGCTGTCGCTGGTGAGCCGACCACTAACTTGCTGGCTGGGCTACTGCTGGTCAGTAGCTAACAATAACTCCCAGATATTCTCCCTATTTTATCTCTACTGTTCTACTGTTCTACTGTTCCTTGTAGTTTGTTCACCATTGTACATCCTTTCATTTAATAAAGAAATTATTTAAAGGTCCAGGGTGTACGATTTAGTGGCATCTAGCCAACTGCTAGGGAGAAACAGTGGCCGTGAAACAACAGCCTCGTGCCAGTGTTTGGATTGTCCGTTCTGGGCTACTGTAGAAACATGGCGGTTCAACTTGGCGGCCTCCACAGAAGGCAACCCATGGCGTCTGTAGATAAAACAGCTCACTCTAAGGTAACAAAAACACAACCACTTGGTAACGGTCAGCTGGCAAACTTGTTAGCTCATTAGCTTAGCGCAGTTATTAATGAGACAATAAGTTAGCAAAGCTTATTCTAATTTGTACCATTCCTGTCTCATAACTGTCTGCAAAGCCCTGCTCATCTGTGGAACAGTTAGGGTTAAATAAATAAGCTAATAAGCTACGATAGCAACGCTACTTTAGGATATCCAGCTCTGTCCTCGCAAAGTCAGCACTGTCAAGGTCAATGGAGCAAATTTGCAGGTCAAAGTTGAACAAAGTTGAACTTGACGTGAAAAAATTAGTAGACTCTGCTCCTGTGAGCTAATCCACTTATCACAGTGATTTTACTGGAATTCGAATTCGAATTTGTAGTTTGTGTGACCAGGCCTTTAGTTATAAGCATACTTAAAGTTGTGTGTGTCAATGCCAGAACCCTAAAAAAAGGGGTGGGAAAACCAGGCAATAAATAGTAGAGGGGGGTCAAAGAGTTTAAAAAGTGAAAGCATCTGAGTGAAAGCACACAGTGTAGGTGTTCATTAGAATATTGAATAATACTATATGCTGTTACATGATACTGTGAGAGAAAGCAGTAGAGCCAGACTCTCCCGTGTGTAACAGGCCGTGCTGCTTCCTATATAGGTTTTGCCCTGCAAGCATAGATTTGTGCTGCATCCTCCCTTTCCAACCAGGGAGGGCTTGTGCTAACTGTACATGGTCATGACTCTCCTGGAACTCTGTCCCTTTCAGGCTGACTTTAGAAAGACAACTGCTAATTCTCATTTTTCCATCCATTTGATGAAGCTGCTGACCTTTCAATTGCCAGAAAGAATCTTGATGTCAGATAATTCTGCAAGTATGGATAGGGAAAGATGGTGGATATGGCATGTAAACATTGGTTAAGGTATAGAGTTAGGCAAATAAAACACTTGGTTAAAGTTGCACTTTTAAATAATGGATCATGTAAATATCGGTAATATGAAAGATCTCACTTGTAGTGACAAATGGACAAGTGTCACCACCTCTGCTCTGTGATTTAGCTTCTTTTTAGCTCCCTGTTTTGGTTTTACAGCCTTCTTTATACATTTTTGGTTCAGTATCAGTCAGCTGTTTTTAAAGAAAAAGGGTTAGGGTTAAAAACCAGCACCAAATAACAGACAGACAAACTTAGTAACTAGCTGGTCAACGTAGTGGAGCGTTTAGGAGTGCCAGATAGTTCCATCAGGAGTTGGTGGAGACCAAAAAACAGAGCTTAAAGAGAGTGAATATTGGGGTTGCCAGAAAAACAACTTACAATGCTAATGTGCTCCATGCCTGCTCAATATGTTTCTGTTGGTGTATGTTACTAACATGTTTGCTATACGAAGTTAGGTAATAATATGTCAGTGCTGTATTGTAACATTAGCTATCTTAAAATGTGATTATATGTCACTTTTATCTTTCACCCACCTTAAAAATGTGTCTTTTCCACACAGACGAGCCTACACATAGCATATCCAAGTACATGAAAGAAGGAAGTTGACCCAGGTTCTGACCTTGCTCAACTGTGATTGGAGCACAGAGCAAAAAAGGGCGGGACTTAGAAAGGGTCAGTTGTGCTGCATCACAACCAGATTATGAAATGGCCCACATTCAAAATCACACATGTTACTAATGTTAATTAAAAATAGACATTTCCAGGGAACAACGGTCTGATATCAAAGCTGTCTTTTCAGGCTTAGATACAGTAACTGTCTGTTAAGGTCACCAGGACAAAAAGTACCGAACATATCAGTCTGGGCACAGGCACCAAGAACACTTGCATTCATAAGATTGTTCTCTTACATTAGACAAAAATTAAACAATGAACGCCTGATCTGAACTTGATGTCCTTTCCAGCTTTTAAAACAGGATGAAACTGACCTCTCCTCTGTTTCTCTGTAGTTTTCACACCACAATTGATGTTATAAATCCTGCTGATTGTCATGTTTTAGAGGATTGTTGTGGATGGAGATAAATGTGTCTGGTGCTGAAAACCTCTCAAAAGACATACAGAAAGAACTTCAAAATCACCAAGCTGTAAGGCAGTTTGTCTTTATTTAACAGGATGACATTGTGGAGTGAAAACAATGATAAATTCATTTATAGCCACAGAATTCTGTTGATTCTTGTGCATATGAGAGAAGCAGGCAAATGCAACCTGAAGCTTTTAGCTCGCCCTCGCTCCTGTTTCCTTTCCTCTGCTCTGAGTTAGTGTGTCTATTCTGGTGCAGAGGGAAAGAAAGCACATGGCAAGCCACATGGTTAGGATGCCGCAGAGCTCTGATCCCATTGGCTCACACGTGGTTGTCTTGGTCAATGGGATTTGCAAGATTCCATAAACCAACGGGGGGTGAGAGTGTGGGTTAGCTCTACAGTTTGTGATGGCGGTGCATTTATGACTGTTTTGACATCAGCCATACGCTCAATTATGTCTCCCTGCAGGCAGTACACCTCTGCACTGCACACCCACACACACTCACATATAAAACACAGAGGGCTAGTACAATCAGAAGCACTGGTTGCGTGCCGTGCATTGATGTGAAATGAAAATGACGATTTAAAAGGGGCACTGTGCCAATTTTACTTTACATGACAACATCACTTTACATTATAATTAAAAATGTTTCTGAAGAGCCATGTGGTCGTCTCTGGCCAAAAATAGGCTTAGACTTGGAGCGTGGATGGATCTGAGACAGGGTGAATGAAGCCAGGGAGCCACAGAGGCTACAGCTTGCTCAGGACATGGAGTTTGAAATACATGGATGTTTACCAGGAAGCAAGGGTCTAATGAAAGCAATCTAATTGCATTATGGAAAGTCTATTACCCATTGTTTTTTGAGCTTGACCCTCGTAGAGACCATAAGTCAGAATATCTCAATCTGTGCTGCATCAATTTTAACCATTCTTTATTTGTGATCACTCTCCTGATTTCAGGTTGTCCACCAGATGTTGAACCTGGTTGTAGGGATTTTCTCCCATTTAGACACAAGAGCTTTAGTGAGTTCCAACACAGATGTTGGGTGAAGTTCTGCATTCCAGTACATCCCAAAGGTGTTGGAAGGACTTGCAGTCAGGACTCTGTGCAGGCCAAGTTCTTCCACAGTAAATAGGGAAAACCTTTTCTTTACGGACCTGGCTTTGTACATGCGGGCACAGGAAAAGCTCTTCCCAAACTGTTAAAAATACACTACTGTCTAAAATGGCAGTGCCATTCATTGGCCTTAAAGACAGCCCCAGGCCATTGCTCTTCTCCACCAAACTTTACAGTTAGCATTATTTCTTCAGCTGGGGTTATTGCTCTTGTTTCCAGGGTCTTATGTTCCTTGTTTCTATGGTTAGGCTTAGGGCAAGGGTAACCTACAGCTCTGGAGCCACATACGGCTCCTCTCCAGTGGCTCCCTGTGGCTTTGACAAAAAATTATATAGAAATTAATAAAAATTATTATTGATTGTTGTAAGCCTAAAGTAATTCTTACTCGTAATAGACTGATTGATAGGATTATCGACCATTTTGAGATCATTTGCATCGGCTATTGCAGTCGACCATTGATTCTTACATTCTCCAACTGTAAAACTATCTAGCCATTACACACCAAATACTTTTAGCTAAAATGTGTGTTATACATTATGTCCTGACCTGGCGCCTCTTCCTCTGTATTTTTCTGAACCTCAATAGTTGTGGCTACCCTTGAGTCTCCCTAGCTAGGCTAGCAATAGATTCTAAATCCAAAAAAAGAGTCTCACAGGTGAAGCGTCTCAGGATAACACTGAGTTGCATTGTAGGAAATAGAGAATTTGACAAATTGTTTGCTTTCACCATCAATGCTGCTGGCTTACCACTATACTAAAATTAGTATAATAATAATAGCATATTGTGTATTGCAACTCTGTGAATGTGACAATAATAAAGCTTTGAATCTTAAAGTTTTTACCAAGTCTTGGGGTTTTTCAGAGCACAGTGACTGGTGGGTCCACAGACACGCCTCCTGATGCTGCACCTGTTCCTGATTGGATGCTGCAGCCGACTCACTGCTTTGACTTGCTGTAGAGAGTCCCCTGGTGGAGGAAGAGGAAGGAAATTTGTTTTTACTACTGCAAGCATTTCAGCTGTTGAACTTATTGTACTCTTTCACAAAGTTTCACAGATTTGTGAGTTAATTTTCAAAACTGAAACTCTTTGATGATACTACTGTACCGTAAGGTTGGAGCAGAATACCAAAAAAGGCGATGGACAGCCCAAGTGACCAGGGGCGCTGCCAGGAATTTTGGGCCCCATGACAAAAAAATCTAATTGGGCCCCCTC